GAATGTTTGTCAAGTAGACCATTTTGAAACAAAATTAATAGTTTATAGATGGTTTTGAAAGAAAAATTGTTTATAGACTAAACTGAAATAAACCATATAGTTAATAGACCATTTATTGAATTTAGCCCAATCTACACTTATCCCTTGAGATAGTAACCCCCAATTCTAAATGTGTAAGTTTGGCCAACTCATTGATTTGAATGTGTGGATTTGCAATAATTATGTTTCTATGGTGTTTTGCAAGAACCTTTGACCTAACCATGTTAGATTTCAAACTGTTAAAGCCTGTTTATTTTGTGTAATGTCTTCGCCTTGAAGTACTTGTCATTTTTATCATAACTGGCTAAGATTTTCCAATTGCATTATGGATCACCACACTTAATTCTATGCCTGCTAGGATCACCTTTCATTGTTTTCAACTTGCAGCCCTTTTGAATTTGATACTTAGCTAGAGCCTCCTTACACTATGATGCATGCTCAAACTTCATCCCTACCTCAAACAAAATATCAGTCCATGAAGGGTTAAACCATACATCAACACTTCTTTTGGTTCTTGCATCTGCATAGACAATGAATTCATCTTCCTCTTCATCTTTATCTTCCTCATCACTATATTCACACAAATCATCACTATAGATCTCACATCCAACTTCATTGTTTAGGGATGTAGAATCAAAACTATCATCTCTATCACTATCATTTTCAACAAGAACCTTTTCATCCTCTTCATTATCTTTGTTTTGAGGCTCATGGACTATGTTGCTTGGTCCAGCATCATCACCATCTGCATTGTTTATTGTACTAGCTCTACTCTTTTGATTTCCTCCAATCTCCCTTACTTTTCTAATGGCTTTAACCACCTCCTCATCATCTGCATCATTGTGTAGAGCATCAAGGAATTCATCACCAGCATCATCAACTTTCTCCTCATCATGAACATCTTCCTCATCATCATGAAACTCTTCCTCATCATCATGAACCTCTTCATCCTCATCATCATGAACCTCCTCATCCTCCTCATCATGAACATCCATAAAATCATCATGAACCTCTTCTTCATCATTAACATCTCCTTCACTATGTACAACACCAAAGAATTCACCATCATCACAATCAGTCTCCTTTAGCACTTGTTCCTTAGCTGCATCTATTTCATGAGATACATTCTGTTCCTTTGGGGTCAGTTGTGAAATTTGTGTGACACAACCATCCCCAATGTCCCTATCTACATCAATCTCATTGCTTCTCTATGGACCCTCCAACCCTGCACCTTCATCTACTACCTCCTTATTCACAACACTTGGTCCTATATCATTACTTTCATCAATTGCATCACATGAAATACTACCACCCTTAAGCATATATAAAATGTTTGGTTCATCACATACGTGCTCCACATACACATCTATAACTGACCTTTCATTCAAGAGGCAACACATGTGACTAACTTCCTTCTGGCCAACTATAACTTTTAGTGAATCACCAAACTTTGCAACATAAGGATCTTTGTAATACAAATATTTAAAATGCATATATTCAATACTTTTTACCCTTTCTTCTATATATAACAAAGTTACTCAATGATATTCAATATCCTCATCATGTACTTCACCTCCAACATACCTAAGATTGTCATTACTACTTATGCAAAAATTGCCACCATGGTGAATTCTCAATGTCCCCATTACTGTCATAAGAGAAAAATATACTATAAATTAATACATATTTAAGTATTAAATCTATCAATTAAGTTATTAATTATAAATTTATAGATTTAGAAATAACTAATTCAAATTAATTGCACAATTCCTAATCTTGAAAACTCTTAACTATAATTGCACAATCATGGGATGAAATTGGATTCTAAACTAACATGAAAAGCAAAATTGGAAATAAAACTTATCGCTTTCTTTGATTATTTACTAAATCACTAAAACCCTAAAATATCTTTTACTCGAAAACCATAATCACAGAGAATGCTTTACAATATTTAAAGTATTTTAATCCTAATTAAACCCTCAATCTTAAATAAATAGTTAATCCAAGTCAAATCTATCACACCCATTAACAATACCACCTAAAAAGTAAACAGGAATGTCTTAGAATAAATAAACATACCTGACAATTAGATTAAGAACATTGTTTGAGTCGTTTGTGTGTTGTGGTCCTGTACGTTCCAATAACTTTAACCTAGATTATTTTGGTTGGTGTGGGGATTAAAGTTCTTTCCTTTGGTGCGGTTCTTCAAGAAGATCTTGTTTCTCGATCAGAATGATAAGAGTCGGATGGTTTATTTGTATCTCATCTGACTTTCCTTTTTTTTTTTTCAACTCATAAGTTAGAGACATGGAGTGGGACCCATAATTAAATTGTTTGGTGGTATATTTCCCGCTAATGAGCAGTCTGAGCTGGACTGTCAACGTGTAAAAAAAGGCTCACATGTCACTGACTTGTACATGTATGAAGAAATTAATGGCGTACGTGCTGCACATGACCCCTCAACGTTAAATATCGCTTCATTATCATAAATTCAAATACTAGAAGGGTATAAAATCACATATTGTAATGTGAGGGGTAAAGTCCCACACACTTGAAAAGTTGAAGGGTATTTTGTGGGGTTTTGCCCATAAATATAAAATAAAAAGGGG